AATAAATAAAAAAAAAAATATATATATATATATATGAACATAAAAATTTGAATATTAAATATGAAAAAATAAAAATTTATAACTTGTATAAATCCTTCTATTAATCACGCTCAACGAAAACCTTGAATCATTGCTGCAATTTGAAAGATTTTAGAGGTGCCCCATACAAGAGCTACAAAATCGCCGTTTATGCTGAAAACCCTAGTGTCCGCCATTCTCTCGGCAGCCGCGACCACTTCTCTGCATGAAACCATAGCCTGGGAAGCGAGGCAAGAGTAACTCCTGAGACAATGGCTTCATCTTATGATTACGACGATGGCACCTACGACTCTCGTCCCTATCCCTCGTCGGCGGGTGGCCAATAAGGTGGCGACCTTGGTTACGATCCCAATTTTGTCCCTGATTCGGTAAAGACCTTCGTCGTCCACCTCTATCGCTACATCCGTGAGAAGAACGTCTACGAGATCCTCCAGATGTACGAGGGTAGCTTTCAACGTTTGAGCGAGCGGATGTTCCGCGACAGCCCATGGCCTTCTGTTGACGCCGTGGCGCCGTACGTCGACAATGATCACGTCTTCTGCCTTCTATACCGCGAGATGTGGTTCCGCCATCTCTATGCGCGGCAATCGCCAACAGGGCGGCAGCGAGTTGATTCGTGGGACAACTACTGCAGCCTCTTCGGCGTCGTGCTTCATGGAGTGGTCAACATGCAGCTGCCGATTCTTTGGTTGTGGGATATGGTGGATGAGTTTGTTTACCAGTTCCAGTCTTATTGTCAGTATAGGGCGAAGCTGAAAAATAAGACCGAGGAAGAGCTGCAACTGCTAAAGCAGTATGATCAGGTATGGACTGATTTTTTCTGATTTTTGTTTCAACTTTATTCTGGGATTTATTTCTTTTGCTTTTGACGCTGTAGTGAATGAAACTTTATTCGATGGTTGCTATGTTGGCGTTGGTTTTGTGGTGGATGTTTAGTCGAATACCTTGCAATTGCTGTGTTAGGCAAAGCAATCTGGTTTGCAATTCGTTATTGGAATTTTTAGAGTTATGAAATTAGCAAACTCATTTTCTTTAAGCTCACTTTGATGTATTGACAGACAGAGAAGTATGGAAGTAACTTGTTTTGTAACTTTTCACTGTTCTGAAGCATAATGTATGCTGGTATGTATTTGCATGGAGAAGTATGGAATTCTCTCGGCATAAAACTGTTCACTCCTCTTAAGAATATAGAACGAAGTGGCTTTCTCTATATCCTTTATTTTTTCTCTATTATTGTGGTTATGCAATTGAAACCCACATTTCACAAAGGGGAAATGATCCTGGCCAAATAATAATATAATGAAAAAGAATTAGAAAAAACCTGAAAATAATCTGAGTGTATGTGGCCGGTTCTCGTGCTTCCTCCAAAAGTATTATAAAGAGATTATGCTAGATGTTCCTTTGGTCTACTTTTTTGGCGGGTATTGTAAGAGAAACAACACCTCATCACTCAAAAGAAAAGAAGGAAAAAAAAGGGAAGAAAGAAAGAAATACTAAAATGTCATGCTATCATAGCAGATGTCCATCTATTTGTTATGTTAATTAGGTGCTGCGAATCAAGTTCAAATTCAATTTTGGGGCATGATTTAGCCAATCATTTGTCATCCTCGGGATAGCAAGCAGCCAATGTCAGCAGTTGAGTAGCTTAGTTTCACGTCGAACACTTTGAAACATGAAACTTCTTTCTGTCGTATAGGTCTACTTGTAGAGTTGTGTAAGGTATCTCAGCAATTGTTTCTTGCTTTTTCCCTTCCAAATGAACAAAACTTCCAAGATAAAGCTATAACTCCACTTTACACCCATTTGAGGAAGGGTCAAGTACTTCTTTGAAATTTTAACCTACGGATTACTTAGATTGTTATTTGATCTGCTTTGCCCCTAACAGAATCACATTGCTATTAGGAACCATCTCAAAAGCTTATTAATATTCCCCACCAATCATTAATGCTCCCATAATGCTCCCATCTATGAAAGCCCATCTATGAAAGTTTTTTTTTTTTTTTGCAAGCATTTATTTCAATAGATCTCCGATTGAACATGGCATCCCACCATACAACACACCTCATTTGCATAGAGCATCTCTTGTCGTTTGCTAGCTTGTATGCAACAGTGATGCACACATATGATGTTTGGGAACCCCTTAGCCATGTGAGATTTTAGACTTAATTGTGTGAACTATAAACCTTGTCTTTGTAATAGTGTATCTTTCTTTTTTTGTCCTTTTTGGCTTTTGGCTACTACGGAGTAACATCATAATCTTGTACTTTATTCAATTTAATGCATTTGAAGAAAGTGAGCTAGGGAACTTTCATAGAACTTCTTTGAAATCTTATGTTTTTTGTTAGTCGTGCTTTTTTCTCATAAAATCACTTGGTCATCACATCTCACTTCTCATTAATTGCGGCAAAAACAACTTCCATTTACTCTCATAAATTTTATAGTGTCCGTGTGTCACTATCATCAATAATTATGTTTGTCTAGTTGGAAAGAACTCAACTTTCAATCTCTCTTTTTTTGCCACTCAAGTACACATATTGATGATCTATTTTATGAGATCTATACCCAACTTCGTCTGCTTACCTATGCTCTTATATGTGGCGGGACTTACACTCTTTCACTGTTCAACTACAACCCAATCTACTACATCCTCAAATAGGTGGAAGCACTCTCGTTTGGGAAACTATGTCATTTTGTGAAGCTCATTGCATGCGTTGCTTTGTTCCTTTCCTCATCTCTAAAATGCACGTGGAGTTTGTCATGCTAAAATTTCAAAGCATTTATGCTTGCACTGTTAAGGGTTTTCTCGATTCTATTGAGCACCTTTATGTTTTTAAAGATGCAGTATCTTTTTGCCATGTCTCTAAAATATTTATAGTGTTGGATGTTTGTTACCACCTTCATGAACCATGCAAGGAGGTGCTATTCAAAGCTAACAACATCTAATATATTTCCTTTTGAATAGCTATTATTCCTTTACATATACGGTTACTTTCATCTCACAAGTCTTTTAAGACATCTCAAATGGCTTTGTGCATCAAGTGAAGAGATTGGGGTTTCTCTGTGTGCATTACTTTTGTTCGCGAGCTAAGGATCCATTGACCCTTGAACTCAATGGAGGCTCGGTTAATTCTCTATCTTTAAGAGTTCCATAGATCATGGAGTGGTTGAGCTATTGCTAAAGGAGGCAAAAATACTTCAAATCTGAAGAAATCATATGAGGTGTCAAACAGTCGGGCCAACAATCCTCAGTTAACCTCATCGAAAAGCAAATGGATTATCTTCCTAGTCACTCTTTTACCTAAGGATTTGTGACTGATACCAGAACATATAAATGACAACACAGAGTCTGAAAAGAGAAGGGATCACTGGAATATAACAAAACAAACAAAGCAAGACTAACATAATCTTGAATCTAAATTATTAGAAAAAGTGTTAAACACAGATTTGCAACCCCAAACATGTTTTCAATTCAAACAATTTGGTCAAAGTGTTAGGCTCTTTGTCACAACCCCTTTTGATGAGTCTTGGTTTCAGAACAACCCAACACATGCTCTTTTCATGGTGTTCTCCATGTTAGAAATTTATTTACCAATAATCTAAATCGGTGGCAGCACTAGGTTTGATGTTAATCGACAGCTAGAGAAATCCATGACAAATGAAGTAGATTCTATTATAAATTTAATGGAATTGTGGTGCATGTGCATTGATAACAGTGTGGTGAACAAGATTACCATCTAGTATTGATTCCCCATTTCGAGATTGGATGATTTATTGGATTAGCTGCATAGAGCCACTGTCTTCTCCTAGACTAATCTTCGTAGTGGTTATCATAAGATTGTGATGAGGTTAGGAGATGAGTGGAAGATAGCTTTGAAGACTCGAGACAAACTATACGACTGGACTATCATAGCTTTTGGCCTCTACAATGCTTCAAATACTTTTATGTGACTAATGGATCATATTTTTTTGAGCTTTCATTGAGAAATTTATTCTTGAATACTAGACGACTGGACTATCATAGCTTTTGGCCTCTACAATGCTTAAAATACTTTTATGTGACTAATGGATCATATTTTTTTGAGCTTTCATTGAGAAATTTATTCTTGAATACTAGGACGACATTCTGGTGTTCAATCGGTCAGAGGATAAACATTTACAATATTTAACATGTTTTTAAGTAATTTTTTGCTAGCAAATGAATTTTTTCTTTTATATTGACCACGAGGCTCACTGATCTTTGAACAACTAGAGTAAGCTAGAGGGGCAACATGCCTCACAAGTGAACTTTCTTTATTTGTTCTATTTTGTGCTCTAGATCGGTGGCATAGGCCATGACCGATGGTTGACAAGGAGCAGCGGACCACAACGACAGTTGGGAGCTGTGTTTCTACAAACTTTGTATTTAAAATCAGCCTAAAACGTGTGAATTCTTAATACAATAAAATAAAATAAATATGGAATTTCAATACATGAAAAAATTACACAATTTTTTTTTCTTCCATCCAAACTCTAGAAATTTTAGGTCATACGTTACATTTGCACTTTATTAGGAATATTTGCAAACAAATAATGCATTAGTTCAGTTTAATTCTCACAAAAATTTAAGGAGACTAAGGCAGACAACATTATATTCTTATGTTGTTGGTTTCTACTACCAAAACTAATAGAGGAAACAATAGAAACACCAAGAACAATCTTTCATTAACATTAAAATAAGATTACATCATGACTCGAACGGAAATAACAACTCAAAACATGAAACGATACCAATAACACTCCTAAATATATCATAATGGGTGGTGGAGGTCGACTAGAGGGATGGGGATGATTGGAAGGGGTGACGATAGCCACAAAAGGCGGGTAGTAATGAAGGGAAGGTGTAGAGCTGAAGGTACAACAATTGTGAAGGGTTGTAGGTGGTCGACAACAATTGTGTGGTGGTTAGGAGAAGCTTGAAATGGTCGACAGCTAAGAGGAGTGGAATAGATAGGTTTGGAGAATAAAAGGGGAAGATACATTCACCACCGCGGAGGGGCTACAATTAGAAAACTACCACATCCTCGGATACAACCCACAAAGGGGAAGGAGACTCCACACAGGAGATATGAAGTTAAACTCATACACAACTCTAATCTGACTCTTTTGTACCCAAATACACCAATTTGTAGACTTCTAAAGGGAGCTTCTACACAAAAGAAAAGAGCGGGAAGCTTGGAAAAATTGATAAAATTCAAGTTCTAGTATTGGCGCCCATATGGATCGTGCGTGTTCGCGATCCCGCTTGCCTGTTCGTTCTGCGAAGGTTCGTGAGCTCCTTGTTCTCGCAGGGGTTCTCACATTTTTGCGAGTTCTCGCGGTTTCCCGCTCTCGCAAAGTTTCACGGGGCTTTGATCCCACGGGATCGAACCGACCCGAATGGGGGCATAGTTTAGCGCACATTTTAGGGTGCTGATAGTGCTCGTGTCAGTCTCCTGGGGTTGGGAGAGCTTCGATTTCATTGTTCAAAGCTTCCGTTTTGTTATCAACCATTCTAGATCCCACTGATTATTGCACTTTTGCCCGAGGTATTTGAGGGTTTTCCTCTGTTTGCAAGCAAATGTCCATATCAATCTGTCTTTTTGGAGTTGTGTGCCATGTCTATGCTGGTAAATCTTCCCAAAGTAACATATGATCAGTTCAATCGAGCATGTAGTGATGCTAATCGAACCCTTCCCGCATGACGGTGGTGCTGCTGGTACGACATCTTCCTGACATAACCTTGGTCGTATCTGCCCTGTATCGGGGGCTGGTGGTTCAGTCCTCT